ACACTGCAAGGCATTCAATGCTCCCCGTGTCCAACGGGAAGTCAGATCACAAAGTGCCAATGGTCTTCTTCAGAAAAGCAAAAAAAAAAAAAAAAGGTGAAAAGGGAAACCAAGCTATGCACTCACCTGTGGCGTTTCACATCCAGATACATCTGGGAGAGTGTGAACGCTACACTGCCAGGCATTCAATGCTCCCCGTGTCCAACCGGGAGTCAGATCACGAAGTGCCAATGGTGTTCTTCAGAAAAAAAAAAAAAAAAAAAAAAGGTGAAACCAAGCTATGCACTCACGTGTCGCGTTCTACGTCCAGATACATTTGGGAAAGTGTGGACGTTACACTGCCTGGCATTCAATGCTTCCCGTGTCCAACGGGGAGTCTGACCACGAGGTGCCAACGATCTGTTTCGCATTTTTTTTTTCTCCTTTCTGTTTCTGTTTTTCCCCTCGTTTATTTCAGTGTCCGTTTCCACATAGCACACCACCAGGACATCGTGCAGTCCTTTTGCCCCGTTTCCATGGGGCCACCAGCTCCCTCCCCCATTGCCATGCCAAGCCTTTGCCGAAGCGCGGGAAACGCGTAGCGTTAACGCTAAGGGCCCGCGGCCGATGTATGGACCAAGTACTGGTGGTTTAAACCACCACTACCCCCGCCGTCCAAAATTCGGGGGGACCGGTAGGCCAAATTGTGGATTCTGCTTTTGGCCTACCGGTAGCTGTGTGGTGGTCCCGCCACCGTCTCAGGTCTCCTTAGTTGTCCCAAGAGGGGGGGGGGGGAGAGGACGCAGCACCCGAAAAGGTCGCAGCCTCTATAGCAGTTCATTATCCTGTGGGGGCTCGTTATCTTTTCTTTTGCACGGCAGTCCATCTTTTTTTCTTTTTTTTATTTTTTATTCCCCTGGCTCTTTTTTTTTTTTTCTTTTTTATTAGTTCATGTTTTAGCTGGCCTACTTCGACTACTGCCGAAGTAGATAAAGGACAAAATGGCTCGCTCTACAATGAATCTTCCACAAGAACATGGGAAGCTACGCCGCCATATTGAGCCTCGCTCCACTACTCTCGACAAGCATAGAAGACAAAACTCATGGCAGTGTATCTTTCCATGTTCTAGCAAAAGATTCACTCTCTATTTGCACATTTCGAGAGTAGTGGAGCCAGGCCCATTGGAGAGAGAGAGGAAACGGACGTAGCGGCGCAGAGAGAGAGAGAGGAAGCGGACATCGCGGCGCAGAGAGAGAGAGAGGAAGCGAACGTCGGGGCGCAGAGAGAGAGAGAGAGAGAGAGAGAGAGAGAGAGAGAGAGAGAGAGAGAGA